ATGTGATGGCCCTAGTCCTAGCCAACTGGTCCCACCTTGTGTTGCTGGGAGCCGGTGAAGGAAGACTGTCACTGTTTCCATTTGGCCTGGGGCCAGGGGCAGCTGGCAGAGGTCCAGGGGAAAAAGGCCTCCTTAGTAAACTGAGCCACAGTGCCACAAAGATAGAGGATTTCCCCCACGGTTCCTAACTCCTTGTCTCTAACTGTACTTTTCATCAGTACAGGGAGCAATGGGTACTTACTGGCACTTTCTAATTAAACAGGGGCAGTCCCAGGCCTTCTAGGAATGATTAGGCCGTAACTTTGGGTCATTAATTGGCCACAGCCCAGGTCTGATCATGGACCTCCCTCCATGGAAACTGGGCTGGGCTTCATTCTCAGTGCTCTGGCGCTGAGCTGCGGGTCTGATCTGCATCAGGGCCACTTCCTTGTTGAAAGGAGCAGGACTTGGAAGTCTCAGAAGCCTCAGACATTTCTGGGCCTAATGAGCTGAGCAGATGGGAGGCAGCCCAAGATGGCCTTGGAACGGGTGGGCTGGCGGGACCGAGGCGTCGTGGAGTTTCTGTACTTGTGTCTGTGGTGGAGACCCTCCTCGGAAGAGGGTGAGCCTGGTAGGTGAACTTGAGACTCTGGGGCTTCCTCTCCGGGGGAGGCTGGATGCAATTTCTAGATGCTTGCCATCTGCCTGAAGTGGCCAGAGATGGGGTAATAGAATCCATGAGTTTTTAAAATCCAGAAGGAAGGGAAACTCCACCCGGGAAACATAACTCCAAGTACAGTGTGTGGAAGCAGGGTGTTTAATTGCAAACCTTTCTTGGAACCAGCTGCTGGGTAACGTTATCTTGGTCGCTCCTGCAGCCAGAGGAGAGTTTATCTGGGGCCCTGACGTAGCCCGGTAAACAGAGCTGGCTTTCTCCAGTGACCTCTGCCCTGTCCCCCTTGCCCTCCACCTGCTCTTTCTCTGCGTTTTATCGCTAGGGGCTCCAGCACAGCCAGCTCAGGGAGGCTTGGGAAACTCTGATTTGGGGATGGGGGAATGTGAGTCGGGCTGGAATTTTGTGTATCATTTGCTCATCTGGAGTGATCGTCTAGGATGGTCAAGGTTTGGAAGAAAGCAGACAGGCGTACAGCCCGGATGAGGGAAAGGGGCCTGGAGGTTGCCCACAGATCCTCTGGGCTTACCTCCGGGGAAGTCTCTGACCCTTTCCTCAACTCAGGCTTTACACTGTTTTTCCAGGACGGTATGCCGGGGGTGGGGCTGGGAGGCTCTGGCAAATCACAGAGGTTTGGGAGAACCAGGGGGCGGAGGCTCATTTCCCCACCCCCCCACCCCTACATGTAAGTCACCAGAGGCCTGTCTTCCTTGTGGGTTCAGGTCAAGTGTTAGATAGTGACAATGCCCTGTGACTCTTCAACTGTTTTCAATGGTCAAGGAAGGACTTTTCTAGGGCAGGTGTACGCTGGTCATGTGTTCATTAGTCCTAGACTAGGAATTAGGAGGTCTGGGTTCCTGTCCCAGCTCCACCACTAACGGGGTGAGCACACCTGCAATGAAACCAACGTAGTGGATCAGGCCCTGTAGCCCTGAAGGCTGTGCCCATAGAATAGAGGAAGAGCCTGAGGGTCTGAGAGGCTGGGCTGAGGTCTCACAGCCGATGATAAGGAAGGTCCTAAGAGTGAAACCCGGGAGTGGCTGACTCCAGGCTCTGTGCCTTTTCCTTGGCAAATTGCCATCCTCAGTCCTAGGTTCCTCCTCTGCAAAAGGAGAGGCCTCCCAGCTGCCAGAGGCAGTGAGCCTGTGATTAATTCTCCCTGGGAGGTGAAGGGAAGCCCCTAATTACTAGGGAGGATGGAGCATGGGTCATGTTAAGCCCCAGTTAAGCCCTTCCTCTGGGTCCCACTTGGTTGGCCAGGGAGAAAGACTACTGTCTAATGGCCTGCGAGCGAGTGCAGGCTCTCTCCCGAGAGGGCCTGGTCACTTGGGGCCTCCCTGCAGTGCATCTGCCTGGGCGGAGGTCAGGAAGGCAGCACCTGTCGTGCACAGCATCTGTGGGAAGGGGAGATGCAGGTGGGAGGGGAGATGTAGCTGGCAGGATTTGGGAGTCAAGGAGCTGGGGGTTAGCAGGGGGGATGGGGTGGGCTATAACCTCTGTGAGAAACCCCAGAGCATCCTGCCACAGTCGGTGAAGCCAGTTGTGTATGAGAGTTTCCTCTGTGTCTGTCTGGTTTTGTAGCATTCTTAACCATTGACCTCTGTCTGGGCCAAGTTCTATCTCTTCTTGGTCTCAGGCTCTCAGAATTAGCCTTCCTCCCCCATGTTCCTCAAGGGTTGTACAGACTTTTCTGATTACCCAAAACTTTATTTTAAAAAATGCCATTCAGTCCTCATCAAGTAGTTTGATTAAATATCCCCACTCCTGAATTTACATATAGGGAGACAGTCCAGTGTGGTTAAGAGCATAGGGATTAGACTCAGTTGGACCTAGGTTCAATCCTTTGCTCTGTATTTTCCTAGCTGTGTGACCTTGGGCAAGTTATTTGGCTTCTCTGAACCTCAACTTCCTCTTGTGCAAAATGGGGATCACAATGGTAGCTACCTCTTGGGCTGAATATTAAACGAGCTAATGCATATGAGTGCTTTACACTGCTGGCACATAGTAACCATTACCTAAATGGTTTCTACAATTTATTGTGTGAGTTATATGTTTATATATGATATAAAGCAAAGCATATCCCTATATATTTATTTATGTCAGTTTATTTTGGGCTTGTGAGTGTAGGGATGGCCTTTTCACTTTATGGTCTTTCTTAATTGGGATCACATAAAACATGTCATATCATAAATACCCCATTTCAGGGTGGCAACACTCAGCTGTATTTGCTTTGCTTTACGGCGCTCTCCTTGGGTGTGTTTCAGAACAAACACTCCACACGGCACAAGGCTGACTCTGTGACTTAGAGATCGGAGGGGAGAAGGGACTAGATTCAGAGCTCATTTCTTTGGCTGTTAACTGAGCAGCCAAACATAAAGCCTCACACTCCTGTGTGCAGAACCCTTGCTATGAAGTAAATGTTCTTGCCTTCCCCCTCCCCTCCCCTCAAATCCACATGTTGAAGCCCAGGTCCCCAGTATGATGGTGTCTGTGGTGGGGCCTTTGGGAAGTAATTAGGTTCAGGTGAGGTCACAAGGATGGAGCCCCAATGATGGGATTAGTGCCCTTATAAGAAGAGGAAGGGACTAGAGCTCACTCTGTCTTCAGCATGTGAAGACACAACAGAAGTCAGCCATCTGCAAGCCAGGAGGAAGGTTCTACCAGGAACCTTGATCTGGGACTTCCAGCTTCCATGACTGTGGGAAATAAATGTTGTTGTCTAAGTCACCCATCTATGGAATTATGTTTTAGCAGCCCGAGCAGACCAAGAGAGCCCTGCTCCAGGCATGTGGTGAGGTCAGCCAATCTGATGCCAAGGTTTCCAAATGCTCCTTCTCTTTGCTAATGTTCCCTCCTTCTCACAATGGCTGTGACCCTGACCTCTCTGGCCACTTTGTTCTTCTCTCTGATGGAGTCCCCTCAGACCTCCTGAATCAGAATCGCTAGGCAGAGTCCTGGGAATATGGGTTTTTAGGGAGGTCTGCAGGTGATTCTGGTGGACGGGGCATCCTGGCAGGGGAACCAGTGCTGTGACCTACAGCAGCTCATTCTCCTCTGAGGGAGGAAGCAGGTGGAGGTCTCGCCCACGTCTTAACCCTGGGTCGCCCTCCCTTAACGCTGTGCTTGGAGACATCACAACAGGCACTGTGGGGAAGTTCAGCAGAGTAGCCCTGAGGTTGTGTGAGGGGACCCTCCCTCTAACTGAAGCCTCTCCCAGGAAGGCGTGTCTTCAGTGTGAGTTCAGATAAGAGGGGCAGAAATGGTGGGAAAAATAGGACAGATTGTGTGGGCCTGGGACTTTCTCTCCTTCTCCAGTTTGGAGTCCCACCCACCTCCTGGGCTAGGTGAGCCTTCCAGAGTGGCCTGAGGCAGTATTCCAGAGCCTGATTGAGCACTGGGAACTGGGGTGACATTGGGAATGGGGTCCTGAAATGCCTTCATTTCAGAAAAGTTTACAATTCTTCCATGTGCTAATTTCTCTCCTGTAAATCTACCTCTCATCCAGAGGGTCAGTTTGGTTGTTCAATGGAGCAGAATGGTTTCTGAGCACCCACTCAGTGCCAGACGCAGAGCTAAGACTTAGGGATACTGGGATGAACGACACATCTCTGAAATGCTTACCGTCTCCTGAAGTGGGTTCAGAGTGTGTTCTGAGGCTCAACTGTGGCAGAATGACCTGGAATGGGTTTTTTAAAACATAGATGCCCAATTTCAACAAATGTACCACTCTGGTGAGGGATGTTAGTAATGGGAGAGGCTGTGCATGTGTGGGGGTGGGGATATATAGGAAACCTCTGTACCTTCTGCTCAGTTTTTCTATGAAAATAAAACTGCTCTATAAAAATTGTTAAAAAGAATAAAATGTAGATGCCTGATCCTCTAAAACCCAGGTCTACTTATGCAGAATTTCAGAGGGTGGGGTCCTGACATGTGCAATTTTCGAAGGCCCTTTGCAGAATCTCATTCACCGTAAAGTTTGAGAACCAGTGGAAATAAGCTACTTAAATTTTTAAACAACTCCAAATTTATGTTCATTGTATAAAATACACATAAACAAGAAGAAGAAAATTAAAACCACTTGTAACCCTACCCTCCTAAGATAATCATCCTTAGCATTTTATTGAATACCCTTCTAGGGGTGTGTGTGTGTGTGTGTGTGTGTGTGTGTGTATTTAGACACATGTGTAGCATCCATGTGTACCTGACACTGTGCTAAAGCCCTGGGGACAAAGATGAGAAAAAGAATGGTCCTGGCATGGAACACCCACAGTCATGTTAAATGATGCCTGGCACAGCTTGAGGCCCTGCTTTAGTCCCTCCCTCACCTGCTCTTATCTTTTCCCCACAGGTATACATCATTAACGTGACCTGGTCCGACTCCACGTCCCAGACCATCTACCGGAGGTACAGCAAGTTCTTTGACCTGCAGGTGAGTGGGTCTGAGCTCAGGTGGTGCCTGGTTCCACATGAAGTGGCCTGAGTGTCTGGTGGGTTGGCCTCTCTCATGTCCTCACTCATCCAGAGAATCCCCTTCCCAAGCTCTCAGGGTCAGAGTCTAGGCAGAGCAGAGGGACAGAAGAGGGAACCTCGGTGGTCAAGCTGGGTTGGGCTCAGTCTTGGATGATGCAGGCAGATACTTGGGGCTTCGTTGGATTCCTCAGATGGTCTTAACAGTCATGCTTTGTCACCCTCCTTCGTCTGGAGGGTGGTAAACCAGGGTGGAAAGGCGGGAGGTTGGCCGTGGGTGCTGTGTACTTGAGCAGACATGTGTCTGTAAACATCCAGGGTGAGACACAAGCCACCACATCATCGCAGGCAAAGAAAAGCAAACACACAGAAAAGACTGAAACAGAAAATAAGCAGTTTCTTGAACTACAGACACAAATGGGGCATACCACTGTGTCTGTGTAACCAAATAAGGCTCTTATCTCCCTGTTTGTACAAGTGTATGATATGTGTGTCTCTCTAACATACCCAGGCATGTCACACAGGGGGATGGTAGCATGGATCCACAATTCCATTGTAGACACCTCCCTTGAGGCCAACTAATTTGATTAGGCCTCTTTAGGTTACTAGTAATAGTTTTACACTCATACTGGCTTAGACAAAAAGGAGACTTGGTTGGAAGCATATACCAGGGAAGCTTATGCAGTCAACCAGATGGTGGAAAGGGGAGAGAGGCAGTGGCTTCAGGAACACCTGAAACCAGGGCTGCTCTCCCTCTGTCTTGTCTTGGCTTCTCTCTGGGTACTGACATCAGTAGTTCAGCTGTCAGTAGCTCCCAAACTTCATATCTTGTGGTCCCCAACAGCAGAGAGACTGACTGTCTCCCAGTTCCAAATTGAAAAATCCCAGGCAAGACTCTGATTGGCTTGACTTGGGTCAGGTGCCCTCTCTGCACTAATCACTATGGTCTAGGGTAGACAGACATGAACACAGACATGGCCACTAGGGGACCCACCCCTGTTTATCAGAGGCAGGCACCAGACAAGGCAGAATCATTGAGAGTTGGGCAGCAACCCTTCCTATACCAGGAAGGGAAAGCTGAGACGTTCTAGATTCTTCCTTAGGGCTATGAGCCTGGTTTAGGCCTATAAAAACACAAAGAAGAGACATCCACTGCTGGCCCTCACAACCAAGGTCCACTCCTTCCTTTGCAGGCCTCTGGTGGTGAGTCATCTTGGAGAGGCCAGGCTTGCATGTTTGCCTCCAAGTACCTGACTTTATCCCACTGTCGTTATGGCTCTGTCTATGAGATGAGCCAAAGGTGAGCCAGCTCCCTGCGTTACAAATCCTCTCTTAATCTAACAATATGGGGTTGAAAGCCACACCTTAAGCTCCTGCCTTCTTCCTCTTCCCCCATCAACTCCTGTCCAGTCTCCTCGTGTCCTTCCGGCGTAAACTGTTGGGATTTGCTGATACCCCATCAATGGGTGTAGTGTGCTGGACAGGAAATGATCACTTAGTTGGGGAGAGGGAACCCTGAAAGGACTCATTGATGAGCCAGAGGGAAACTCTCAAATCAGAACTTTTCTCCCCCCTCTTTTCTGTTCTATTCCCCTACCCCCTCCCTAGTTACAGAATCTCACAGGAAAGGAATGCTGCTCCCCCCACTTCTCCCTTGCCTGGAGGGCTCATTTCCTGTGTGTTGAGAGGGGACACACGGCATGAAGCAGCTTGTACGATGCGCTGGCCCTAGTCATGAGCATGGCCAGGCCTGTCCATGTGGGTCATTGTTACCCTGTAGATGCAGTTTGGAAAGGGGTTGGGATGGTTCTTTGGAATTTAACCTTTCAACCAAGCATTTTTGGGAACCCATTTTTCAGAACTTGACATGTTGACTTGTAATGGCCTTCATTTTAGAAAGCCTCTCTTATTTATCAGGATCTCTGATTTTAATATGGCATTCCTATAGAGGAAGAACAAATGGCATTGCTAGTTCCGTCTCTGGTCACTGGTGGCTCTCAGAACTCAGCTTGGAGCTTAGGCACTGGGGACACATTGCCTGGGACCAGTTACTGGCTCTGTCACTCTGTAACTCCAGAGAGGTTCCTTCCTTAGCTTCTCCATTTTCTCATCTGTAGAATGAAGGTTCAAATGGTACCCACCCAGTAGGGTTGTTGTGAGGATGAAATGAGCAAATCCATGTTTTCCCCGACACATGGTTGTCTAGTGAGTTACTTGGTGTTAACAGGTGACAAGGATGCTGGGCTGCCTGGCTGAAGGGTCTGGGGGCTTAATACCTCCTGTCATGGTGTTGCTTTCTCGTTTTCATCCCTTGGCTTCACTCTGCTGAGTTGCCGCTCAGTGCCCAGGCCTGTGTCAGAGTGTACACAGTCCCACAGGCTCTCTCTGGAGCTTGCCACTGGGACAAGACGGAGTGAGTTGGGAGTAGGGTTGTGACCCGTAGAGCGCTATTCTCAGAATCCTTTTGCTCCTCCCTTTTTGGACTGAGGCCCACCTTGGAACCCTGGAAGTACTGCGCCGACTAAGCCAGCCCGGGGAAAGCTGCCTAACTGGCTTTACTAACTCATGGTTCTGGGCTTTCTGGGGACTGTATACTTTTTTTTAGTATAAGTATATCCCATATATTGCAGGAGATATACTAAAAAGTTATTCATTGGGACTTCCTTGGCGGTCCAGTGGTTAAGAATCTGTGCTTCCACTGCAGGGAGCACGGGTTTGATCCCTGGTCAGGGGAACTAAGATCCCGTATGCCACATGGTGCAGCCAAAAAAAATTTTTTTTGAAGCTATTCATTGTTTATTTGAAATTCATGTTTTATCCTTTGTCCTGTATTTTTCACTTGTTAAATCTGGCAGCCTTAGCCTGGCTGCGCATGGCAAGGGTGGAAGTATAAAGGTGAGGAAACCAGGTTGGCTCGTGGTAAGAGTGAATTGGCCTTTGCCAAGGCCTCCACCATATTTGCACTTTTGCAGGGCAGAAGTGGCACAGGCGGAGGGACACTCATTTGAGAAGGACAAGGTCCCTTCCTTCTAGGGGTCTGTATCTAGTGGGGAAATAGACTTTTAAGCAATTTAGTCCACTGTAGATAAAATAAATACTAGATTGAGGTACAAGTAACATGCCAGGGGATGAAGAGGAAGGAAAGAGCATCCTTCTTGGGAGGGGGCAACTAAGAAGATGCCCATATTTTTTTAAATTAATTTTTTAATTTATTTTTGGCTGCACTGGATCTTTGTTACTGCGCACGGGCTTTCTCTAGTTGCAGCGAGCGGGGGCTCCTCTTCGTTGTGGTGCGCGGGCTTCTCATTGCGGTGGCTTCTCTTGTTGTGGAGCACGGGCTCTAGGCACACGGGCTCAGTAGTTGTGGCACGCGGGCTCTAGAGCGCAGGCTCAGTAGTTGTGAGGCACGGGCTTAGTTGCTCCGCGGCATGTGGAATCTTCCCGGACCAGGGCTCCAACCTGTGTCCCCTGCCTTGGCAGGTGTATTCTTAACCACTGCACCACCAGGGAAGCCCTGCCCATATGGTTTTGATTGGTGACAGTGGCCTAGAGTGATATAGCCACCACCCCCACTCCAGTTTGAGGGGATTTGGTTGCTTTTTGAGATTTATAGTTATCGAGGTAAAGTATGTCCCTAACTTATTTCTTAGTTTGTTCGTTCATTTATGCGTACTTGTCTGCCTCCTCTCCATCTGTCCATCCATCTGTCCATCTGCCCATCTATCCATCCATCCATCTATCCATCTATCCCAATCTATCCAGTCTTAAGTGCCTGCCTTCTGTGTCCCAGGAAGGTTGCCAGGCTCTGGGTGGGGATTTGTGGGGATTTATTGCTGAGCAAAAGCAGATCTGGTTACTGCTTCTATGGGACTTACAGCTTAATGAGGAAAGGCAGATTTTAGTTTAAAAATGTATATACATATTATTTTATATGATTCCAAATGCTACAGAGAGAAGCACCATAGACATATTTTAGGGAAACCTTATACTCTGGTATCAGAGCAGACTTCCCTGAAGAAGTAAGTTTATCTGACAGACCAATGAGTTACTTTATTTTATTTTGGGGGCTCAGGCTTTCTTTTATGCATCTTTCCAGACAAGCATGAATGTACATATACAATTCTAATAACCCTCTTGGTCATTCACACCCCCCTGAAATCCTTCCAAGGGCACTAGGATAAGACCCTCTACTCTGCCCAAAACCTTCTTCTCTTCCCATGTTTCTTCCTTGAGCCTTCAGCCCCAGTGGTTCTGCCACCTTCTCACTCAAGGGGCTGTGAACCCAGCCCCTCTTCCCACCCACTGGGAAGCACCAGGTATGGAACCTTTAGATTGGGCTGTCCAATGCAGTAAGCCACCAGCCACATGTGGCTAGTTACGTTTAAATTTAAGTTAATTTAAAAACTTAAAGATCAAATTTTAAAAATTCAATTAAGTTCATTTAATTTTTTTAAAATGAAATGAAATTTAGTTTCTTCGTCATAGTTGCTGCATTGCAAGTGCCCAAGAGCCGCAGTGGCTAATGGCTACATACCGAGCAGATACAGAACATTTCTACCATCACAGGAAGTTCTTTTGGACTGTGCTGCCTCTGACCACTGGGGACACACAGCAGGCGCGATCTGGCTTTATGCCCACCCCAGTGCGCTCTGCCACCTCCCAGGCCCTCCCCAGTTGTCCTCTAACATCTTCCAGGGCCCCTGCGGCAGGAGGGGGACTGTATTCCACCGTGATTTGCCCCATCCATAGAGCAATTCAAATTCAACAGCTCTTCCAAACACCTCTTCTGGAAACCAGGTCAGTTACTAGAAAGGGCTTCTAAGGGCATTTCAGATGTCAAGCTGGGAACAGGGAAAGGAGAAGCTCTAGGTCTCCAAGTGGAAATTGGTTTCTTCTAAAAATAATCCACCACTCAGCCCTATCTGACCAAGAAAGGGACCTGTCCCAGAGGGAGCTGGCAGG